TAAAAATGGAGGCAATTTTTTTTTCAAAAATACGAACTTTCTGACCATTGTCAAAAATTTTTAAAATTTACATATTTTAATGTAACATGATTAAAACATTTATTTTCATATCCACGATTTGATTCAGTACACTCGTAGTGATACTAGATTTGATTTGTCATGACAATCAAAAGTTTATTGAAATGAATAATTCAACATTACTACCAAAATTTTTTAATCAAACATTCCAAAAATGAAATTTTTTCCATTTATTTTGATAAATTGCTATCCACGATTTGATTTATCCTAGATATGTTTTTGCAAATACTTATGGGAAACTGCGATATTAAAACGTGCCATGACATATGGTACATTGCACGGTTTATGATCTGTAGGTATGCGGTCATTTATCATTATAATATACTATATCGATGTTTAATACCACACAAGATCGTATTACTCAACTAGTTTAGATAGTATTTGAACAAGTACTCATTTCATGTAAAACCGGTTTCAGCAAAATTGTAAAACGGAGTTACGTACTTAGCATATATTCCTCCATGAGGATAGATAGAGAGATAAATGTAACACAACGTATTTACAGGATGGTAAAGGGAAATTTATTAATTTAACGATAGCTCATATCCGGACGTCCAATCACTGGATTGGCATTGGATTTAGGCATTCCAAGTGCTACTCAAAATTTGCTGATAATAGAATAGGTGCATATATTCGGTATAACTAGTGCCTTGAGAAAAATTAATGAAACTTTCCCTATCGCAATTTAACATTTATGAAAGCTTTAAATTTAAGATTTTTTGAAAACATTGAAAAGTTTGAAAAAAATAGAAAATTTTAAAATTTAAATTTTTTGAAAAATTTGAATTTTTTTTTTTTTTTTTAATTTTGAAATTTTTTGAGAAAACATAAAATTAGCGAATCGGATTTTTTTATGAGAACAAACTTCTGCTTCGAGAAGTTAATAATAATGACAATAATGATAAATAATAATTATAAGTAGTTTGTGTGGAACATTTTTCTCTGCATAACAGAATTTCAATTTCAATTATGTTGTTGGTTCCGGCAGATCACTTGGCCTTTTTCTCTTAAGTCGTCTAAATAAAAACGTAAAGATATATAAAAAGATTTCATTTTCGATTTTTTGCGATTACTATAACTTGCCCAACGAAAAGTTAAAAAAAAATTACTAAAGCACCTTTAAGGAATAACATTAATTAGCTTTTTATATCATCTGATCAAAAATTGAGATGTGGTACTTTTGGATAAAAATTATTTTTGTATCCAAAGATTTTACCGGTATTTTGTGTTAGAATTCTATTAATAGTTATAGATGTTGAAGGAACAAATTGAATTCGTGAGCAAGAAGTTTTCAGCGGTATATTACGCGATCGTTGTGCGAGAGACAATATGCCGATGACGAAACAGCGCGATCATTGTTTCGTTGCTGGAAAAACTTTCTCAAAAGCAACACAACCTGCATACGAACGTGTCGCGTATTGGCAAGTGTTGTGTATGCAAATTATTTAGCTTTGATATACACGCTGTGTGAACAAATCTAACAAACTTAGAAAATGATACAGTACCTACAGATATTACACCTACAAAACGTCCTTCTGCCCCTTTTCCCTTAAGATAAAAAAGATTTCATTGCTTTTGAGTTGTTAAGAACTTAGAAAATGATAGACACGACAGCTACTTATTATATGTAGAGAATGTTTCCTCACCCTTCCCTTAAATATAAATGCAAACTTCTTGGCAAAGCAGATGAAAATTATATCCCAATGCTTATTGAATGTGATTGTTCTGATCGTCATTCAAAAAAAAACTTCTGTGCTAACAAAATTGTTACAAATTCGTTAAAAGTACATAGTTCATACTTTAAAAATATTGAAATTATATTTTACCTTTTAATTACTACATATTTGTGTTATTAAAATCAACAGATTGTAATTTAATCTTCAAGAATAAAAGATAAACCTGCTGAAGTAACATAATTTTTACTCATTTTTACTAATCACGTGAGGTTTTTGGGGGGAGAGTGGGTTTGGCATAAAAATCACGTGGGAATAGTAATATATAACGTGAATTTAATTTTTACCTAATTTTTCTTTAAAAAATCCAAACATTTAGAAAAAAACAATATTTTTACAATTTTTTCTCTTACACGTGATGTTTGGTGTGGGAGAGGGGGCAATTTTGAATACCACCACGTGTCACCAAGGGGTATGGGGTAATTTTGAATATAACCATGTATCACCAAGGAAGAGTGGGGGTCCAAAAATCTCTGAAAAATCGATCACGTGAAAAATAAACGCCCCCTAAAGTAAAGTTACTTTTCTAAAGAATTATTTTTGTTATTGCTATAGGATCAATATATCCTTATTGTTAGTATGACAAATTATCATAAGAATAAAAATGTATAATTTTTGTAATCTTTTATAATTTATATTAACAGTCATTTTTATTAATAAGCATAAAAAAACAAATGACAATTTTAAATTATTAGAATTATATTTTTATTTTTTTACACTCTGACGTTAATAGAAATTTTATCAACATGGAATACTATATTCAAATTGGAGACAATCGGCTTACTTTGAAAAAATTATACTTATATTCATTGTGATAGAGACAATATTTCTATCAAATTTATTAATTTATTAAAGTAGAATTATCAATATAAATAAAGCTGATGTATTTCATAATCTTTTATTGATCACGGTAGCCCTCACGCCAGGTAAAGATTTTCCGTTTTTTTCCCATAATATATATATATATATATATATATATATATATATATATACAGATTATTAAGATAAAATGTACAGCAATATTTATAAACACTGTTATAATACCCTTGGGTAATAAACTTATAGATTTTAATTACATACTGTAATTCAACCTATTCAATGAAACACATGTTTTTTAAATCTTAAAAAATCTAAATCTTTTATATGAATCTTGGCGCAATATTTAAATCTTGGCCCATATTACCAATATTGCGCCATTATTGGCTGGAGCTTGTCTTAACAATATTGAACAATGTGGGAAATACGTGGAAAAAAGAAGTTTTTTGTGTTGTCATACTTGTATATAAATATATATATATATATATATATACATTTAAAATATCGATCATATATAAATAATAATGACTTTGTGTAATTTACATCAATATGAAGATTAAAGTTATCTGTAAAAATACACGAACAAAAATAGACAAATGATTAGAGACATTTTGTCTACATAATAATATCACCACAAAAATATCCATTTATCTAAACTTTCTATTAATAAATTATCTTTGTTGAATGATTCCAATTACTATAATAAGCAGCGTTTTGTCAATTTAATATAGAAAAGTTGTGTGACAAATGCTGATATATCGGTAAGTGATGATGCGATAAAAATTTAATTTATTGCTTATTTATAATTATGTTTTTTAAATTATTTTTTCATGATAGTTGGTTTTTCATTACGCACGCGAAAGCGAGCGCTTAATGAAGTATCAACAATTATGAAAAATGTATTTGAAACTCGTTAAGCATTAATACTAAAAAAAGTGCTTATAAATTTGTTATAAACACCTTATACATAAAAACATATTACCAAGTCTTACGCGAGTGTTCACAAACATTTAATAACGTGTTGTTAATCATTCGGTTTCAGAATTAGCTTTCTTTTGGTGAGTTCCCCAAAGACAATCGCCGCGCTCGAGCTGTATATATAATTAATAAAATAGTGAACGAACAGATTTTTGTTATTGATATGAGCTCGCATAATTAATTTTTTACACTCGAATATGTCAGTAAATGATTCGCATAGTAATATTTGCGAGATCGGGACACGAGAATGTAACAATTCCTAATATAAAAATTGTTTTAGATGCGAACCCGTTCCGGGTCAATGGCCGAAATTTCAGTTACGAAACGGCTGCTTCAGCTTTCGCAAGTAAAAAAGTACGGTTTCTATTCATAGACTCATGGTTTTGATATTGTTTATATACGTGAATTTTTATATACGTTTTTACTGATGTGTATGCACCGCTACTAATAATAGTTTAGTCGCGGTTGATAATACTAAGATATAGAAACCTATTTGTTTGTTTATTATTTTAATTTTATTTGATTATTTATATACTGAAACGGGGCAAGATTTTCAATAGGATCTTGAATAATATTAAAATGTCCCGCAGGCCGACGCAGTATACAGAAGTCCGCAAGTCCGTCATTTTTGACATCTAATATAAAATGGTTCTATCATCAATTTACGGTTTGCGTTATTATTATCTAATCACACCTGGGGTTAGTTAAAACAAAACCTTGGGGCTAATTGTAACAAACAAGTTTAATATATAGATTCAAGTGAATAATGTATAGTTTGAAATTGTTTTACAGGAGACATATCTTTTATTTGTATTAATTGTAGTTTACGTTGATTTATGATAAGAATTTCTATGACAGGAGACACTATTTGTATTAATCATAGTTTACGTTGATATGGAAAGAATTACTTAGCATCATTTCAATTTTCGTGGAAAGAAGCAAAAATAAATTATCTGAAGCCCCAAACACGGGGCAAGTAGTACCAACGCACTTTTTCTATTTTTACTTGCTTTAGTAGAGGAATCGATACTGCATCAATCTAGCTTTACTTTGTTTAAATATAATTAGCGCATTTCAAAATATATTAATTTAAAAAAAATGTTACAACAAGCCCCAAGCTCCCCTATATATATCGTATACTGTCAACTGCAGTTTAACTACCAAGATCATAAACGGCAGCTTTGAAGCAGTCACTAAAGTTATGACCATTAACTAAAGTAATGTTGTAATGACCAATTTAATACCCGAATATAAATAGTCCATATATATTTATTATCCTTTCCATACTCTATATGCCCTAAGATTTATTTTATAACAGAAAGATCTATTCATTTTATTCAGAATTTATAACTCAATAACGTTAAACCAAGAGCTTCCACAAGATATGGTAATTACCTTTGATAGATCCACTAGGCGTATGGGCTTGCTGAGCCTGAGAATTCGACTGCTGAGCCTGTTCAATTTTAGAGGTAACACTGTTCCACATTTCAAACATTTTGTCACTATGATATGTCTCACAAACAAGCAAACACATTAACAGATAATTTATATAATCCTAGACTGTTATTTTATTTCAATAATATTCTTCATAATTGCCACTGAAAATGGAATTAATTTATTATATTGGTATCTAGTAATGTAAAACATCACACATTCACATTCTTATAAAACATTACGTGCGGTCGGCGAAATTATGATGTGGACTTTCTAAAGAATTTTGACTCGTAAATTCCACTCGTTTCCTGAGTGGTTCGAAAACGCTTGCAAATTGCTATCATTATGTAAGTTTATTATTGCTATTGTAGTTATGAAAAAATACGTATCATTGTAAGTGCAACTTTACCCGCAAACTTATTTAAAAAGATGATATTGTCATTTTTTTGAAAAAAAAAATTGAAGATTAAAAGACAAAAGAAAGTTGAGTTAACGGTAATCAATAATGGTGCACGTGCAGTGAACTCTAGTGCGTACGTACGTACGTTCTAAGCCAGGATATATTTTACGTAGTACACCCACTTATTGACAATATCATCAATTGTAAATATGTTCCATACTATATTAATGAAAATTTGAAAACAAATCCACTTTGACGGAAAATCAATATATTTAAAAAAATCTGGCTAAAAAAATCTATTTTTAAAAATTCAAGAATCAAAGTATCAAATAATACCAACTAACATTCATTTCCTAATATGATTTTTATTTACACAATATAAAAGTCCATTCAGATCCATCATGCGTTTAAAATAATCCAATAGAATTCAAACGAGAATGTTGCTCCTAATAAATGATGACACAAATCAAGGCACAGTATATTATAGATCCACGCACGCACACTATATTTGAATTTGATATTCACAGCACAGCGTTTAATACCGTAACAACAGAATAACTTCTAAGGCAGCGGTCCTATATCTTAACCTTTATAAAGTTTTCCGACACCACCACGTAATCGATAGACACTACACGACAAACAATATCCACATTAACAAAGACACAATTGAGAAGTCCTTCTGAAGGGCTGGTTATCATCCCTGCTTTGCGGTGGTTGGATATGCTACGGGTCCACGAGTACCTTGCGGGTGATGATGGTGACCGCATGAGCCGGATGGCATGTTGACGAATCGACACCCCACGTGTTCAATTTTGATTCCGAAAACCTCCGCTTTTGTACTTTATTGCTGTTGAAAAGAGTGGGTTGGTTGGTTGAAGATCGAAGAAGCTTTTTCTAAGACGACGCGAGCGTGCTTCCTCGAGTTTATGGCAACGACCGCGTCGGACGGCCGTCTGGTTATGACTGGCTCAAGTTCTGATACGATACCGCGAACCGACACATAGCGCGCAATCGTACGTACGGGCTTTGCCAGAAGCGGAACGCAACGGCAACGGTTCGGCAGCGGCTCTTCCGCTCCTGAGCGGCGAAAGAACGCCGAGGGCCCGTTGGACAACGGACGGATTTCGCGGATCCGGGAATTCGCGTGTGAAAATGCACTGACCAAAGCATACGAAGGATGAAAAAGGATCAACTTGGAAATGTCATATCTTAATAAAAAGTGAAGGAAATATTGAAAGTAACTAGTTGCAAGTGGTATTTTGCCTTAAGGCTGTTGTTTCCAAACTTTTCGTACTGCGCCCCTACCGTTCTTATATAAAAGAAAGAAACGAGGGATGAATATAAACGTGGAAAAGTCATATCCAAATAAAAAGTGAATAAAATATTAAAAGTATCTAGTTGGAAGTAGCATTTTGCTTTAAGACAGTGGTTTCCAACATTTTTGTACTGCACTAAAACCTCCCCCCCCCCCGTTCTTATACAAAAAAATGAAACAAAGGATGAAAATGTACGTGGAAAAGTCATACGTAAATAAGAAGTGAAGGAAATATTTAAAGTAACTAGTTGCAAGTAGTATATTGCCTCCCTCTGTTTTTATAAAATAAAGCAAAAAAAAAGAAAATAGAATAGAAGTCATATCTAGATAAGAAGTGAAGAAAATATTAAAAGTAACTAGTTGAAAGTAGCATTTTAGTTCAGCACAGTAGTTTCCAGCCTTTTCGTACAGCGCGCCTCTCCCTTCCCCCTCGTTCTTATAAAAAAATGTTGCGCCTTCCTTAATTTTCTTAAATTACAATGTAATTTCATAAATACTCAACTGATATTATAAATAATTATCTTATTACAAATTAATATACAATGTCATGTGAAAATATAATTAAATAATAAGTATTTTTTGTTTATTTTTTTATTATTTTTGATTTATTTTTGAAAATAGTATTGAATAGTAGGGAGTGCGCCCCACAGGTTGAAAACCACGAACTTAAGGGTGGTTGCAGTGATTTTACCGACACGCATACATAATCAGCTTCATCAATAAAAATTGAGATTCAGCTATTCAGATACATTGTTCAACTGTTTCTTTTGAAAATGAAAATTTCACTAAAAATTAACCAATGCGATTCTGTCTTTCAAACGCACTCATAATATTAAAAATTATAAAAATTGATCTATTTCGAATTCTTAAAATTTTATTAAAGTGAACGTCAACTGCAATCAGTAGCTACCTACGAAACACCTACGAAGAACGTACATATGCTGTGGCAGAATCGCTCAATCGCACGGCAAAATTCAGATTTTTACAGAATTGTTACAATTCAACTGCTTATCGTACGTTTATAATATTATAGTAGGTATGTTATTACAGACTACGAAATCTATCGATTACCAAAGTTTCATCAAAATCGTCCAAAAAATTATTTTGATATTTAATTACGAAGCCTGAATGATTTTTACCAAAAATTAATCAACGTCATTCCCAACCAATTATCTTCCGAATTTGAGTTTATAAAATCAGTTCCAAATTGTGGGCTAAAGCGTGGAGGAAACATTTTACAATTTTCTGCTAATTACAAAGAAACTGCTTGGCTGATCGTCTCACGAAACTGACAAACACTAGTCCTAATCGAGTTACATCGAATGGATTTTAAATTTTTAAAATCGGTCAAGACGTTTTTGAGAAAATGAGAAAAGGTCAAAAATCGGCTCACACATACTCACATACATACTTCTTTCAAATTTGGTCTCATTCGATACAGAATGACTTGAAACGTCGAAAAAACATAAAATTAGCAACTCGAAAAGTAAATTAAATTTATTTGTTCTCTGATCATTAACCCCTGTTGTACTTATCATTGTAGATTTGAAGATGTAAGTTTGAAATAAGCCACACGTACACACCAATCCGTAAAAAGATGTGAATAATATAAATTTAATGAGAAATTGCTAGTGATGAATCGTGTATATTTTGTTATAATTGCCTTTTTACTTATACAATGCAATAAAGCACATGATGGATTGAACCATAGGAAAAGTAAATTTCCATGACAGCGCAGCAGCCGAATTACGGTTAGAACAAATAAGCAAGAGTTAGCGGTAATTTGTATATTTTAAATAGTTGGATATTGAATGTAGCTACCGTTACGGCTTATATAACGATGCCATGATAGAGTATATGTCGACTACATCTCGTTAATGAAAAAACTCATTCCTATTGGAAGTTTCCTTTTTCACGAGTGGTATATGTGCGTCTGCACGTACATTTAACTTTGCAAATACTCATCTACGGTCATTATGCTAGGAGCAACTACGCAAGATTATTTTTATTTTCAATATATAGAGATAGATGCACAAAAAGTGTTACTATATACGGCTTTATCTCGTATGCAGATACGGAAACTGAGCGACCACGTTCATATATATATTTACTGATATTATTGCATAATGCTTCACTTAGCGAGCACTTCATCTCTAGTCGAGCATCGAGCAGATATATAAGTGCATATAAAACAATTATATAATAATTATAGAGATTTAGCTGGATAACGATTATATGAGAAATGTAGCAGGTAATTTGTAATAAATGTAATTTATTTAGAAAAGGGGTATTAAATAACCTGATAAAATCGTGGATAAATGCACATTCGTATTTTGATATTACCATTTACCTTTATTTATTATAATTGCATAATTGAAAAAGCTATGTATCTTTAACATTCAAAAGGAATTCAACATTGGAAATGAGTTTTCTAGAACTACAGAATCAAATTCTCTGATAGAAATAGGTAAAAAATAGAAATTGGTAGTAAAAACTATCAAAAGACTTGCTGTGCAGTCAGACGTACATATAAAATTTAGCCTTAAAAACGCACAATGTTGTCACAAGTGCATCTTTCTAATGTGCCCTTGATAACACATATGTGAAGTTAGGCTTTATGTGTAAAACGTCTGATCGCACAGAAAATACATAGAATTTTGACAGTTTTTACTACCAATTTATATAAAGATAGATCCGTAAAATAGTTTTGCGATAACATTTCCATTTTATCGGAGAATTGGCCATATAAATTGGGCTTCAAAATAGAAGGATGCAAGTTAAGAATAACACTTTCATGACAATAAATATTAGCATATCACTCATAATGAAAATATTGCATTATTGAGCTAATAACAAATCCAAAAGAAAAAAATTTAAAACCCCAATCACCAAGATGATACCAGAAAAATTTTCACATGAGTCAAGGTAACTTTATTAGGTAGTTTAGTTAAGAATGTATCAAGAAAACTTGAAAAAAAAATTGTATACCAAAATTCATGGATGAACTCTATTTTTTATGTCACACATATATGACTGATGGCCTTCTGTTAAAACATTTTTCTCGACGAACCATGTCAGTCTTATACGTGTGACGCATTTTTTTAAACAAAACTTTAAGGTTTTGTCAGACATATATGTCTGACAAGTCTCACGTGAAACCTCTTGGTGTCAGACACATATGACAGACACGGCAATTAATAAACTAGAAAAAAACATTTACAAGTATCCTATCTCTCTACTTTTCTCAAATATTCTCATTCATATTTTTATTTGCATAATTTGCCCATATAGATTTTATTACATGTGTACGACTGTCTTCATTATATTCGATGTATAGGAACACCGATGCGCA